AAACATGAGAACAGAATAAGACGAATTGCAAAATATATCACTGTGACTTTAGTGAGCCCGGTGGCTGGATGGTAGCTCTTCGCTATCCCGTGCCACAGGTTCTGGGTTCGATCCTCGGACCGGGCAAGGTTGACTCAGCCTTTCATCCCATCAGTGGGTCGATAAATGAGTACCAAGCATGCTTGGGAACTTAACATTGGGAGTTTCACGTTCGGCTGACCACCTAACCGGAACATTTGCCCTTCCATCCCAGAGCCCAAGGTCAAGAAAACTGAAATGGGCACAGTAGGCCTTGGTCCTCTTTGGGCTGTCGCGTCACTGAGTTTAGTTTAATTTAGTTTAGACTTTAGTGAGTCAAGTCGTGAAATGGTTTTTATGTGGCTTTCAGGGAAATCAAAGTTGAAGCAACGTTTCGCAGTGATTTTAGTCCCTCAGTCATGTATAGTTTTGTGACTACTAAGTGTCCGAAGTCTCAATAAGTAGTCAGTGAGACTCTAATATGATATCACGAAATAAAGTAACAAAGTAACACTATGACCTTTTTGGGATAATTTAAAACTGTCACACCTGTGACTGTTTTTGACTTTATTGTGACGTCAGTGTGACAATCTGTGAAATCTGGGTTTTAATGGTGTAACCAAAAAAAGAATTCTTTGCTTTTTGTTCTTTGCGGTGTTCTCTCAACTAAGCTTTTTTGTTATCAAAAACAAGATGTTTAAAAAAGATATCCCTCCATTTGTTTGTTTGCTTTAAAAAAAAGTAAGATGAAAAATAATATGCAGATGCTGTATTATTCTGCAGCCCTCCACTAGCAGCCATGATAACAAAAGCCTTCCAGTACGGCAGCTGCCGTCCTGGGAGGCTTTTGTTATCATGGCTGCTTATTCAATGCATCCGAAATGCTTAGAAACTACAAAATATCTTGAAAAATACGCATCAGTTCGAAATTTTGAAAATGCACTTCCAAAAGATCTTCAAAAGATGTTTCAACGATACCGAAGTTACATTCCAACCTCACCCCCTTGAGATTGGATCGAGTTAAAATCAAAATCTTAAATAGGAATCTCCTATCACTTAAGGCCTGTTTAGACGATCCAATTTCTTGGACAGAGATTGATTGATATTGATGGAAACTTGTTTTGCTTTCAGCTTGGATCGTGTAAACAATCATCCAAGTACTTGCTCTAAGTTCTTGGACGACAGTAGAGCAACATGTTCTACTTTCCACCCAAGTTTTTCCTCCCTTAACCAATCAGCTTCTTAAGTTTTGTGACGTCAACAAGCAGACATCAGATTGTTCCTTTTGTTGTTTCCTTTCATATATTTTAGTGAAAATAAGTTAATCTGCTACGGCCTATTTGTGTTATTATGATTTTTATTTGAATTTATTCAGTAATTTTAAAGTCATGTAAGTATGATTTCATAATGTTGAATATGAACAATGCACATGCGCAAGTGTTTCTCCCGTCCAATCAGTGACATTCAAGAACTTGGATAGTGTCAACGAATCATTCAGTTTCTTGGACAAAAAAATTCTACCGATTTCTCGGATTCAAGAACTTGGACCGTGTAAACAGGCCTTTAAGGCCCTTTCTACGCTAAAGAACAACTCAGATTGAAGAAAATGTGAGGGGGAGAAGGTGATGAAGAGGCGTTTAAAGGGGAGGGACAGTGAGTAAGGTTTAACATTTTTTGGCAAAACTCAATATTTAAAAGGTGTGTCGAAAGTTGATTACGCATTTATATTTATTACTTTTCCATTTTCTCCATTTTTTTGTGTATATATAGTGTGATTCCTTGTAACTAATCTTATTTACTTTATTATTTTTACATCATTCATAATTCAAATTCATAGAAAAAATACCCCAATTCGTTTCCTTTTGGTCTGTATGTCTTAAATTAATGTGCTGTAATTGCAAAATGATGGAGTAAATTAATTGATCAGCCTGCATGGGGACCGAGGGTGTGCTGCATCGGTCCTCCTTAAACTGTTCTACCATAAAGTACTCAACTTTGCGCGCAGGTCATCGGGATACCAAAACAGGGGTGCCATCCCCTCTTCAGAGGATCAAAATTGCAATGGCATGTCTTCGGATCATCCTCATGGATGTTTCCCAGACCGTCGCCAATAGCCCATTATGCAGCTCTAGTGCTACGTAAATAAAGTACTTCCTACCTAAAACCTCATCAAACTTTTGTCACCACTTTTTATATTTTTCCAGACTGTGGCCATACTGGATAGACTAACAGTTATGTTTGTAATCCTGATAAAGATTTCGTGAGAATTCAATTTTTTGAAATGTTTCACACTGAGTTCACGACCATTTGATTAAAAAAAAAAAAAAAAAAAAAAAAAAAAAAAAAAAGAACTTCGTGTAAGCCTAAAATATTAGTGAACATGAGGTAACATGAATTAGTATAATACAGGTTGCTCCGCAATGACAACCTATTATATGTATTTTACGAAATGCATTCTTTAAAAAATGCATATTAGAATTGAAAATTAACATTTACAACGAAAAAAAACAATGCTATTCAAATCTAATGACAGTAGGAAGGCGATACTGAAAACGTAATTTTTATTTATTGTTTGATTAAATTTTCAGGCATTTTTAATTATCGACTATTGACGATGGAAATGGGCTGCAGGTGCAAAACTAGGAAATTTTGTGACTCGCCAGTCGCCAGTTGTAGGGTTTGTGGGGGGAGGAGTTATCGACAATGCCAACTTTCATTTATCAAAAGGCATCTTGCAATTGAATCAAGTTAACATGTATTATATAGCAGTGGATTGATGTTTAATTTTCGTAGTGGTAGTTACGCTGTAGGAACATCATATGTCACATGACTATTCATATTACTTTTATGAGAGTTGCGAATGGCAACAGATCAAAAAATAATAATAAAAAATGAGTGTTCTAAAAAATGTCTGCTGATCATTTTTATCCTGTAACTCTGTTGCGTACAGCTATGTTTTAAAAA